ATACTTTCTTCTATTTGACTGTTTGTGTGAAAGATTCTGTATAACGTGTATTCAATTTGAATATTGAAATTGAAGGAATATTTTTAAAAGATATGACTTTGTTTGGAACTGAAATTGTAATTAAATGTGGTAAATATGTTTAACAGTGTAATATTACCTGTTTGATTGTAACTCGTAAATAAAATAATAAATGTAACTTATAAAGTCATGTATCAATTTCTTACATTATGTTAATTAATTATATTAATATTGATTAGTATACAGCTGATAGAAAAAACTGAATAGTTATAAAATAAGTAGAATGATAGAAAATAAACGGGATGAAACGAGAGGAGACGAAACAAGTATGGAACGAAATGAGACGGGACGAAACGAGAGCTAATTAAAATATACAGGACAAAACGAGAGGATACCATGGATCGTACGTATATCAGAACAGGTAGTCACATCTACATATACCTAAAAAAAGACTAAAACGATTTCTATGTCATTACTGAGACATTTTACTCTGACTTCTATTCTCAACATAATTGTTTATTAAAATATATGAAAGTGGAGAAGATATGTTTAAAAAATGAAACCCATTAGAAATGTCTTTATAAGTAGAATATTATATGACATTTTATTTTTATTTTAGTTATTTTTATCTATCCATTCACAATGTGTCATATTTCCAATTACTTAGTATTATTATCCCTTTGTTTCGCTGTTTTATTATCTACGACAGTCAATGGTCAATGGTATATTAAAAAAGACTATTCACTCGATCGACCACCTTATCCAAATCCAGGCAAACGAAGTACTATTTTAAATTTAGAAGATACTATTAATAACAGAAACTTCGTTGATTGTACAATATCCTATGATGACCTCATAACCGATGAAGAGAAATCTATATGGACAGTTTTATGTAGTGATACAAGACAAGATGATGATAGACGGACTAACATCATCGATGATAATGATGATGATGATGATGATGATGATGATGATGATGATGGTGATGATGATGAATTATTATCATTTGATTTACAACATTTAATACCACCACATGATAAAAATATACGTTCAATTGTGAATTGGAAAACAGAACCAAAATATTATAATAAACGAATCATTCAATTATTGAGAGGATATTAACAGAATATGTATCTATTTTCTGGTATGGTATTCAAATAGAAATCGTAGGTGATTTCAATCTCGAAAATAAATGTCAGAGCTCGGTGCAATATTTTCGGTTTCTTGTTTTTGCGTCTTTGATAGAAAAAAAAAAAAAAACCAAGTTGTAAACTCTTAATCTTGTATGAAACAAAAAAAAAATAGAAAAAGAATGGGGGTTGGATCACACAAATAATAATAAAAAAAATGAAGCTAATATTTTTTATGATCGTATAATTTTTCTCAGAGAATTTTAAATTTATTTTATGTATATTGTCTAGTAATTCAAGTTTATATCATATGTACTATAAACAAAACGAAAATTTTTACGTATTTTACAATAATAAAAAAAAGGAAATTTTTCTTTCGATATCGATTAAAGCCTAGACGTTTACTAAAGCTAATAATCGTTTTTTTATTCATACTATACACATATTTATGTGGGTAAAATATAGAAGATATGAAAAGAAAAATCGAGTATTTACAAATTTTATTTCGTTTAAAAGTGACATACATACATTCTGAAATATTTTACCTGCTTTTTTTTTGATTAATGAGATTTCTTTTCTAAACAAATTTCGATTGAATGTTGTTTATTTATTCATATAATAATTTATATGTCATAAAACTGTGTTTTTCACAACATTTCATTACCAGTACATGAAAACTACATGATAAAAAATGTTTAAAATAAATATTTGTAGAAAAGAAGTATAGAATTTTTCGTTGGATGTTGCAATTGTTGTTACTGTTTTTGATTTAATTGACAAATAAAATGAAAATCAAAATAAACAAGAACATATTTTAATCATTTGGCCATGTATCCAGTGAATCAAATAAATTTTTTTCATTATTTAAAGCAGAAGAATGTTTAAAATTATGATGATCAACAAAATTCGGCAGCTCGTCATATAGGAAATATGCGTTTCGTTTGCCCCAGCCTAGAATAAGGTGGATATTATAGACAGTATAGATAAAAACAATCAAAAATATAA